TTATTGTTTTCTATACAAATTTCACAAATGGCATGGAAACAAAATAAAAAACACGCCACTGGCAAACATAGTATTATGTAAGAAAATCCAGAACAAATCCAAAAAAAAATTTTTTGTATGATATCAACTTGAAATTTTTAGCAAAAATCCAGCTCTATGAGAGGAAGAAGCTCTTTCATTTTGATAAAAAAAATGATTAAAAATGTTGGGGTTAAGGGGGGTTAAATTTAAAAAAAAATCATAAATCAAAAACGAAAAGCGATAATAACATGAAATTTTTAGTAAAAATCAAGTTTTATAAAGGGAACGAGGCCTACTGATTTTGAAAAAAATCTAAAGAAAAATGGAGGGGGGTTGAAATATTTAAAAAAATCCTAACTCAAACACAAAAATGATATTAACTTGAAATGTTTAGCAAAAATCATGCTTTATAAAAACAAAAAGTCCTCTGATTAAAAATAGAGGTTTAAGGGGGGGTTTAAATTTAGAAATCATAAAACAAAAATGAAAAGCGATATCAACATGAAATATTAATTAAAAATCAAGCTCTACAAGATAACAAAGACTATTGTTTCTGAAAAAAAATCTAAGTAAAAATAGGGGCATAAGGGGGTTGAAATATTAGAAAAACTCAGCAACAAGAAACGATATCAAATTGAAATCTTGAGGAAAATCAAACTTTATAAGGGGATAAAGCCTATTGACTCTTAAAAAAATCTGAATAAAAATGAGGAGTTAAGGGGGGTTAAAATATTTTAAAAAATCCTAAAAATCCTAACTCAAAAACGAAAAATAATATAATCTTGAAATTTTTAACAAAAATCAAGCTCTATAAGTGGCGAATTCTACTGATTTTGAAAATCAAGCTTTATAAAAGGAAGAATCCCTTTGAATGTGAAAAAAAAAATCCTAATAAACATGGGTGGTTTAAGGGGGGGTTAAAAAAATCATAACTCAAAAACAATTGATATAAAAAAGAAAATGTGAACAAAATAAGGGGGTTAAGGGTGCTGAAATAAATAAAATTAAAATCTAACACCAAAAACGATATCAACATAAAATTTTTAGTAAAATTCAAGCTCTAGACTATTCTGAAAAAAATCTGAATCAAAATTGGAGGATTGAACTAAAAAACGATATCAAATTGAAATATTCAGGAAAAGATAATGAAGCGTATTGATTCTGATTTTTTTTATTGAACATGGGGGTAAGGGGGTCTGTTAAACTGTGAAGAGTATAATATAGAATGACAAGCATTATATATCTTCATTCTAGTTTCAAACTTATATCACATTTTAAATTTCAAATTTGTAGGATTCCCCAATCGATCATTCTTTGTTGAGTTCTATTTAAGGATGCTATGTCTAAAGTGACGCTGTAAAACAGTAACAAGGCCTATACTATGGAGTTTTAGAGTACTAGTACTCCTGTCCTGTGGAGCGGGCGGATAGCATGACTTTACCTGGGAATTTACCATCGGGGTGGTAGAAGCCCACAGTTCAAAAATGGGCCATCTAGATGACATTATTACCCTGCAGGGTTTTGACCTAAAGAGGCTGGCTATTTTTAGAAATTCCCTAGCGCCAACCAGCAGGTTTTTGATGAGTTAATAACCTGCAGGTCTCTGATGAGCTAGGAAGTTAGCTGTCTGTAGACACCTCTAAGCGGCAACCAACAGGTATTGATAATTTGAGAAGCAGGTTCTATATGCCCCTGGAGGATGCATAATGGACTTTATCAGATCTAAGTATTGTGAAGCAAGTCACTCTACCCACCTTACAGATACAGGTACTCCATAACATACATTTAAGAAGCAGGTTCTATATGCCCTTGGAGGATGCATAATGGACTTTATCAGATCTAAGTGCTGTGGAGCAACTCATTCTACCCACCTTACAGATACAGGTACTCCATAACATACATTTAAGAAGCAGGTTCTATATGCCCTTGGAGGATGCATAATGGACTTTATCAGATCTAAGTGCTGTGGAGCAACTCATTCTACCCACCTTACAGATACAGGTACTTCATAACATACACAGAATACGATAGTAATAGTTGAAAACATCAACGAATTAATCAACGGCAAAATTAGGATTAACAATGACGTCGCTTAGACTAGAAACAAGTTAACAATAAAACTCCATACACATAACCTATATTGTAATGTAAAATATATTGAAAATTCGTAAACAAATCTTAAAAATCCCCCTACGACCTAAGACTATCCCTAAGACCATCGCCGATCCCCAAAGGTGAAAACATATACTTGGAGATTTGAAAAATAGTCTGTCGCCGGTGGGATTCGAACCCAGACATCTTTGTTCTGTACACAAATGCCCTTACCGCTAGACCATGATGATATTGACTATTACTATATTGTAATGTCATTAAGTCAGGTCTGGATTATGGGAATCAACCCTTATAAAGTAAACATTTTATTTCATCTTCAGAACCGGTATTGTGTTATTATTTAATAGTAAAATTGTTCTTAGAAATCAAATACATTACCACATTGACCCTACTGTACAATTATCACTATTCATGACTAAAATTGGTCCTGTCAGTTTTTATGAAGTAAAAAACGAATTGCTTATTGATTAATTTGTTAGCAATTCTTTCACTCCGCAATTCTAATTGGCTCTAATTACGGTATTAATTAAACGAGCTCTTTTTACACGCTTTACGTTTATGTATAAGGTACAAACCAGAATTGGCCGACATGTGTACTGGGTGAGTCTTTAACATCGTAGAATTTAACTATAAACAATAACGGTATAATAACTACATGAAGAAATACTTGTATGTATCTTGGACTACAGCTGCATATAGATATAGACAGCGCGTTTAAATGTTTAAAATATGTATATTTAAGCTATCCAAATTAATGAATGTTCACTTTTTATCTTTTTTAGAGGAGTAAATATTAAATCGTTGTCTTGTCTTGTCTGTATCTTCTTGTTGATTTCTGTTTTTTTTTCTTTTTCTTCGTCTACAACCGTTACCAAGGCTCGACAGATTAGGATGTACCTCAAATGTCATCGACTATAATCTACCTGCTTAAGGCGTAACGTAATTATGACATCAATTCCTGACATTAACACATGATTAATCTCAAATAAAATTGAGCTAAACGTCTTAAACTGTAATGACGTGAAAGTCAAAACCACAATGTCGCCACAACTACTTCTGTTTTAATTAAATGATGTAAATATTCTCATTTTAAAGAAAGAATAGTTAATTTTTGAATCACATGTTTAGTGCCTCAAAATATTAATATGTGTGTAATTTCTTATAGAACTGATGAATTTTTCAAAATATTTGTTTTTTTATCGAGGATTTGTAAACAAAAACAGTGAAAAAATATCAAATCATTAAAATCAACTAGTGACAATACTTTTTACATACAGATAATTGACAATCTTTATTTCATTGTATCTAAAAATCTTTCCATTAAAAAATTCATTAGTTTATTCCTGAATAATTCATTTTATAGTGGTTAAATTTGGCATAATTTTTTAAAATTGTAGTTTTAATAAAAAATCTACAATGTTGGCTCACCCTGTATCATACAAACCAGACTTACTGGTTGCGAGTATTTAAGTAGCTATTGATGCCAAGTATTTCTGTTTTTGTAATCGCTGTACACATGTAAACACAGTTTTTCTAATAAAATTAAATAATATAATTCATCTATTTAGACTTGTAATATCTACACTGGGAAAACTGCATTTCTTCAATATGAACTAAAATGCAAATCATATTTAAGATAAAGAAATACTTCTTGTCATGATATACCAGGTGATAATGAAATCAGGGCCAGTTTAATATCTCTTTTTATGCGATTTGGATCAAATTTAGGACAAATCTAAACTTATACTTAGACAAAATGGTCTACTTGAAGTTTTACTGCGAATGTCATTAATTTTCTTTTATTTTAAATCTACGGATCCAATTACATATCATAAAGTTGTAAAATTTTTATTTTTCCAAATAAATTAATTTTTTTGGGTAAACGGCCATGAACTCGAAAATAATGTTCTAATAGCTTCAAATAATAAATAATTAAAGCTATTTTACAAATTGAGTTAAAAATACCTCATTTAGATAAAAAATACAGTTCTAAAACGACTAGAAATCGGTTATTTTGTTTAACTTATCAAACTTTATGCAAATTAACCTGGGAAATCGCTAAGGTCCCAAAATCTAGTAACTTTTTGGTAGATTGGTAATTGAACTTTTCTCATTATATTTTTATATTGTAAAACTGTCACTAGATTTAGTAATTTTTCAAAAAAAAAGTTCAGACATAATATCACCTGTCATTTCTATTATATCTGTCGCTGGATGGCATCACCTGATATTTAACATCTGTCATATCTGTCACTAGTTGGATGTGTCATTTACCAACATTCCTAAGTAATCCGTCTCCCAAAAATTTACTAGATTTTGAAAAGTTACTAAATCTAGTGACAGTGTTGCCAACAGAAATCTAGTGATAATAGCAGTGTTACCAATCTACGATAAACTACTAGATTTTGAAAAATTACTAAATCTAGTGACAGACAATGTTGGCAACATAAAAATATAGTGAAAAAAGCAGTGTTACCAACATACGAAAAAGTTACTAGAATTTAAATCTAGTGACAAAATTGCTCTTTGGGATCTAAGATATTTTTCATGTTAATTTGTATAAGATTTGAGCTAGAACTGGTTATACTTCCTAGTTAGTTTGGGGAACTAAGTGACAATTTATATTTTTGAAGGAGATAAAAGGGATGACTATTTAATTTAACAATGTTTTTCTAACGTCACAAATTTCTATATGTTTATTTTATTTAATGCTTGCCATAGTGGTAACTTTTAGACGTAAAACGTAGAATGCTATGATGATGGCATGGTAAATAAAAAATTTAATTTTATATCATTCTTCACCTTATTATATTGTGGGTCATCATCAGGTAGAAGTAGACTAGTGTACTGATAAAACAACAACTTACCCTCCCACTAGGCGTGCCCATATCGCCCCCGGTTTCCTCTTTCACCCTCCTCAGCGCCTCCAGTTCGGCGCTACTGTACAGCAAGTCCGGCGAATGCGAAACGCCATTGGTGTACGGCTGTTGCTTCTTACCGAGGTTCAGTGGCGTGCTTTGGCAGACAACGGGCGATCCTTGACAGCCTACGGAGGTAATATGAGGTAATTTTTGACTAGATTGGGAATGACTGACCGACAGACTTTGCGACGAGGGAATGTTTGAGAGTTTGGAGGCGGCCTCGCCGGATTTTGGGGAGAGCGGCGTCGACGGAGGTGTGGGGGGTTGCGAGGGAGGCGTACCGTCTTTTTTTTGGGGCGGGTTCAGCGAGAAGTTGTCGAAGATTTTACCTGAAACAAAAATATTGCGATTAGTTTGAGGTACTTGAACCTACAATTAGAATTTTTTGTATACATATGTAGACACTAATTAAACTTTAAAAAGTAGTTTAAACCCTTAAAAGTAATTAAGATCCGGTAGTTAACTATTTTTAATTAGTTAATTAATATTTAAAAAAAAAATACGTTAGAGTACTACTATTTTTAACTAAAAGCAGTTTGAATACAACTACTTTGTAGTTTTATGCTCTGATCACTACTATTTCACTATTTTACCAGTTCATCTTTATTGTTCAATTCTTAGTGCTATATTATTGCTATAATATTACTATATTATTGTTATATTATAGCTGCATTATAGCTATATTATCGCTATATTATGGCTACATTAACGCTATGATATATTAGTGCTAGATTATTATTGGACTATTGGTATAGTATCGCTATATTTTTCCTATATTATCGCTATAATATTAATATATTATTGTAATAGCGTTAATATATTATCGACATATTATTGCTATATTACTGTTGTTTAACTAGGTACTATGTGCGTATTACAAAAAATGATTTTACAAAGAAACATTCGAATTATTAGATAAACAAACCATATCAAATCTCGATAAAAAGCCTATAAGATATTTATGAATATTTATCGCTAATAAAAAGAATTTCCAAATGTACAGGTTGAAATCTCATTTAATTTTGATTAAAAAATGCCTCTTGGTATTTTTTAGAATTTGCCGTAATTTTCGAAATAACGAATTAAAAAATATGCCGTGATTTTATTATTTAATAAAAGTTTATTGGGTAAATTATTCCTTCAATATCAAATATTACATTTTGTGAAAAAATTGGAAGAAATGATTAATTTCCTTTATGGACCTGTCTGTAAGTCCGGTCCTGCAAATCACATTCATTCGATCAACATGCCCCCGGTTTCTAATTGCCCAAATCTCATATCAATCTTTATCGTGGTTTTACTAGATTATGACTATATTATCGCTATATTATCGCTATATTATTGCTATATTATTGATATTTTATCGCTATTTTATTGCTATCTTATCGCTATATTATTACTATAATATTAATACATTATTGGTATATTAATGCTACATTATCGCTCAATTATTGTTATATTATCGCTATATTTATGCTATATTATTGCTATATCTTTGCTATCTTATCGCTATATTATTACTATATTATTTATATATTATTGGTATATTAGTGCTATATTATCGCTCAATTATTGTTATATTATCGGTATATTATTGCTATATTACTGCTATTTAACTAGGTACACTGTTCATAAAATGTGTTAGAAAATACGAAACTACAAAGAAACTATCATATTTTGATAAAGCTATACACTAATTTGTGAATACTTATCTCCAATAAAAAAAGAAGGAGAAACCGTTAGTAACCGAAGTAATTATTACAAAAAAATCCACCTGTCAAATTCATAATAATTTTGTTTCTATATTTCCCCAAAACCAAACCGTCACGTAGGAACATATTTACATTCCCAAAATTTATTACATAAACAAAAAACAACCCGACCACGTATTAAAACATCCAAATGTAATAATTACAAAACATCTGCCGCAAAAAAGGCAACAAAAAATAAAACCGTCCAAGTTATCGATTAAAAATTAAAGAATCCACTCTCTCCGAGAAAAAAGAAACATAAAAAAAAAAACAAAAAACACCCAACTCCGAAACAGAAAATAACTAATTTATCATTTATTCAAAGCAGAAAACAAATGAATTTCCATAGCCGGCTTGATTAAATGAAGGATAGTAAGAGCGAGACGGGAAACAAAAGACGCCGGGCGGTCGGATAAAGACGGAGCTATCTAGTAGCCCTGTCGAGTACTGGGCTAAATGAAAGAAATAAAAAGAATCGTAACCGGCCAGCGCATAATGAGTTAGACGAGGACGGAGAAGACATCGAAAAGGATGATTAATATTCAAAAGAAGAATATATATACAATACGGTGAAACAGGGTTAAAAAAAGAGTTTTGTTGTATGGTTCGAATGCCTTTGGGTTGCCATAAGCGCGCCGATTGGAATTCGTTTCGCCCAACACGGTATTTTTTCGCGATTTACCTATATTTCTTTTTTCAAAACATTTCAAAAATGTTATATCGAAAATATCAATTGTTTTCTTCAGAACCCCGCGCCAGTAGGGACAAATTGTCAGTGCACAGTTTATGAGGCTTATGATCCACTTGTTAAACAATTAATTCATCACCCACCACTTCTTGTTTTGCTAAATATCAATCGCCTTTCCAAATATCGTTAAACCAAGAACAGTTCAGCCACATATTATAACTATAAAAGAGCCTATTTAGCCGATCTTTATAGAAGTATAGCTGCAGCTGATTGTAGTGGTGTCACTGAGGTCAACGACGTGAATGCAATCTTTAACATTTTTTACTCAATTTTTTTTAAAATAATAGATTAGCACGTTCCCAAAAATAAAATGAGGAATCGTAATTATCCACCGTGGTTTAATAGTAGCATCATTAAAAAGCTGTAGAGAAAAGTCAGGTTTTTAAAAAAATTAAAGAATACTGATGATCAAGATATTACCCAAGAGTTTAAAATTATCAGAAATTATATAAAACGTAACGTTGATATAGCATATCGTAACTACTGCAATGGAATTGAAAATGGCATCAAATCGGACTCAAAAAGATTTTGACAATTTAAAAAAAATAAGAGACAAACTAATTCCATTTCTGCTGTTATGCAATATAATAATCATAAGCTGGCAGATCCTAAAAATAATGCCAACGCTTTTTCGCAATATTTTTGTAATTCATTTTCGCAACCTTTAATCAATAACTACCAAAATAATACTTCTACTGTTAATTTTGTAGATCAATTAAATATTAACTTCTTTTCTGTGGCTCATGTGAAAAACAGTCTCATAAAAATTAAACCATAGCATACAGGACCCTGTTCTCATTCCAGCTTTCCTTCTTCACGATTGTGCATCTGCCTTAGCTGCTTCGCTTGCAATATTATTCAATTTGTGTCTTAAAAATAATGACTTCCCTGAATGCTTACGAAACGTTAAAGTAATACCAATATTTAAAAAGGGCGATAAACAACTAATAGAAAATTATAGGCCAATAACTATCATTAATAACATATCTAAAGCATTTGAAATATCTTTATACTCTCCTATCTTCGAACATGTAAAAAATCAGATTTCTGAGAAGTAGCATGGTTTTTACATGGGACGGTCAACCACAACAAATTTATTTTGTATTCAAAAAAATTCTCATGGTTTCGACAATAACACACAGGTCGATGTAATATGCACCGACTTCACAAAAGCTTTCAATCGTATTGATCACAATCTATTGATACATAAGTTAGAATCATTTGGATTTTCACAAAATTTGATAACTTTTTTTAAAACCTATCTACTAAACCGATCTCAGTATGTTGAATGCCACAGTCATACTTGCTACGTGGCTACATCAGGTGTACCCCAAGGTTCTGTGCTGGATCCACTACTCTTTAACCTATGTATAAATGACATTCTAAACGATTTGGATATAAATTGCCTTCTGTATGCCGATGACATGAAATTGTATAGTGTTATCAAATCACCAGATGACTGCAACACGTTGCAGGTAGCACTTGATCGAGTGTTTACCTGGTGTGTTGAGACCAATCTACAATTAAATGCTAATAAATGCTACATCGTTTCATTTTCATTTAAACACAATGTTATTTATCATAATTACGTAATTTCTGATATATTTGCTAAAATCATATCTATTAGAACGTTACTACCAAACAAATATAACTCCTTTCACTCAAAACTATCAACAAAAAAAATCAGGAATACTTCAAGGAAGTATACTAGGTCCAATGCTCTTCTTAATTTACGCCTCAGATTTGCTAGTGACAAATACCACGACTGTAGCAATATTTGCATTGTTATCAGTAAACAGTAACCCAGTACTTTCTTCACAGAATCTACAACATTTGGGCGGTATTCTACAAAACTGGTTCAGTCCAAGTCACTTTTACTACAAAACGTACCATATTCCAACCGATCTTCCTAAACAATACTCAAATACTAGTGAAAACTGAAGTAAAATACTTATATGTCGGCCAAAAACTTATATAGCAGGATATTAAAATTAAACGACAGCAAATTACCTCAAAATTAAGAGAAATATCATGTTAATAGTATCCTTAAGACCATATTGACATACGACATTCAAGTATGCGATGGTTGAGGCTAGATGAGGTTGCACAAAGCCACTAAATTCAAAAATTATTAGAAGAATACAGTCAAAAATTCTTCATTCTATTACCAATGCATCCTGGTACGTATAAAATTGTATGAGACACAAGGACCTGAACATTCTATTCGACACTTTATTTAGACCGACTTAAAGAGCATGAACACAATTTGATAATAGAAATAATTAATCCCCAGAGGCACAGAGAAGACTTAGAAGATTGTGGCCATAAGAGATGTGATTTAGCTCAACATGACCGAATGATGGTGTTCTTATAGACTATTACTCCACCCATGTCATTTTACACTATTCTTTTAAATTTACGTATTACTCTGTTCTATTAGTAAATTATTGTAAATCTATAGAAAAATAATAATAAAAAACAGTATGATAAACATGGCTTGCATCAATTCATGTGTAATTTACTTGCCTAATGTTCAAGCATCAGATGGTAAACCTTTAATAAGTGTTACCAAGCCACAGCAATCACAACGTCACCAAATAGGAAACATGGAAGCAGATCTAAAGGCATTCTTAGAAGCGTCTTATCCATTGCAAATATAGAAAGGAAACAAAAAGGAAATGTTGACTCATATGTTCTTCATCAAAGAAAAAAATGACAAGTCCTTCTGAAGGCATTGTTAAATGTGTTTGTGAAGTACAACTCCACACAATGATGACATATCTCCACTGAATTTTTACTAAGATATGATACAAGATTTTATGTTGATGTG